CCAAGCACCCCACCATAACGACGCTGACTGATGAAAATGAGTATGAAGACGCCGATGAAGATGAAAGATAAGGAGCACTATTTGTGAGGACAAGGTAAGATGATAATGGCATTGGGAAAGGGGGTCGAAACAGGCTATGGTGGTTTTGTTTTTCTTTCCGACTGACTCTGATTGCGAAAGGGAGACGAAGCGACATGAAGGCGAGGACGAGGAAGAGGAGGGGGAGGGCGAGGACAAGGAAGAGGAAGGGGAACACGAGGAGGAGGAGCGAACGGAAGGCGAACGGAGGGTAGGGAGGCAAAAAGAGATAAAGCTGGAGGAGAAAGGGGAGAAGGAGGACAAAGGGGAAGGACGAGGACGAGGAAGCGGAAGAGGAACACGAGGAGGAGCGAAAGGAAGGCGAAAGTCTGAAAGGAGGGAGGGTAGGGAGGCAGAAAGAGATGGAGCTGGAGGAGAAGGGGGAGGAGGAGGACTAAGGGGAAGGAAGAGAAGAGGAGGGGAAAGTACAAAGGAGGGAAAGGAGGGAGAATAGGAAAAGTTAGGGGGGAAGTCGAAGGGGTGCGGGGGGGATGCTAAAGGTGCGAAATCGCACCACATGGCTGCGCCATGTGGCACTAATTTTTCCGTTTCCTTTCTTTTCCATTATTTGTGTTCATGTGTGTGTGCGTGTGGTTCTTTGCGGGTTGATGTGTTCGCTGTGCGGTGTGGCCGTGTTGTTGGTGTTGCCTTGTGCTTTGCTGCTCCGCTGCTGTGCTGCTCATCCGTTGGCTGTGCCTTCCGTGCTTGCCGCTTGTGTGCCCTGTAGGTTGGTTGCCTTGTTGCTGGTGCCTTGTGCTCCGCTCCATGGTTGCCCAGCTGCTGGTTCACTCGCCCTGTCATCCCCTGCAGTGTTGTTGCTTTGCTTGTGTTGCCTTGTGCTTCACTACACGGCTGCCGCGCTGCATGCCATGTCGTTCCTTGCAGTCGTTTTTTGGCGTTGTGCAGTCGTGTTGCCTCTACTGTGTTGCCTGGTGCTTCACAGGGTTGCTGCCCGCTGCTATGTTCCTCTTGGGGACAGTCTGCCTTCAACAAGGGTCAAAGGGTTCATGACCCAAATACGGGGATCCCGCAGATTGTCGAGGGTTCAGCCTCCTGATGAGTCGGTGCAACTCCGACGAAACAATCTATCAGTTTTTATTTTTTTCGCTTTGTGTTTTTTTGTTACTTGGTCTGTTGTCCGCCTTGTTGTATTGTGCCTTACTGCTTCTTGTCTTTCTGTCCATGGTTTCACCCCAAATTATGGGTGCTTTGATTTCTCCTGTTGTATGGATTGTTCTGCGCAAAAGTGTTGAGGTCTTTCTTCTTAGGCAATCGTGTATGCATGCCCTGTTACGCTGCTTGCCGCGTTCGCGGGGTTCTGTTTATTTCAACACACACACACACACACACACACACACACACA